ACCCTACTATCAGTTTTTTCAATCTTATTAGACTTAGTGCCAAATAAAATTATCCCTATTATCTCAAATCTATTATCTAAAAAAATAGCTATAATACTTGTTATTAAATTTTTACTTCATCTTAATCAACAAATGTATCATAAAATTTGGATTTCTTATTGTATTTTAAGATCAACAACTTATCCTTCCATTTTCAATTCATCTTCTAATCTTACTTCACATTCATCTCAATCTTTTTTTTTAATTCAATTTGCTCTAAAATTAATTTCTAGTATATATAATGGATCAAATATTAAACTAACTTTTTATATATAATTACAAATACCCAAATCTAGGTGAGCTTTGGCCACTTCTGTTAGTTTAGGTTGCAGATAAACTAGTCTGAGTTTCTATTCTTTTTATAATATTTTTAAAAATAAATTTATGCTTTATGTAAAAATTTTAAATAAATAATCAATAAAGATAAAGGCATGACCTTACTATTAATATTAAAAAAAAATAAATAAATAAATAATAAGATATAATAATTTAGTAAAATAAATAAGTTGTCAACCTTTTAAGTAAAAATTAGATATTTAAAACTTATTAATAACAAAAATTTAAACAATTATCTATATAATATTTATACTATAGTAATTATTTATAATAATTAAGTTAAGATATTTATAATTACAATTATATAAGCATAACTAATAAGTTATAAGATATCTGTATAATTGGTTATATGAAAAATACAAACAGGAGTGTGGTAACCTAGTAAAGTGGATAGGTTGTCAATCCCCAAGTGCAGGTCTAGAGTTCAAATCCCAGTGACAATGAAAATTTGCAATTCTTTCTGTGATTGGTTGGGATAGAATATCTGTAACCCATATTATACCAGCATGACTGGAAGGTCTAAGGCACTTGTACAACATTGTACAAGAGAACACAAACCAGTACCAGGTGGTGTGAACCCAAGATAAGTCCTTAGGCTATGTAAATCAAGAGAACCAGGTAGAAAGATGAAAGCCCACTTGGAAAACCTGAGTAAAAAGATAACCCGAACCTTCGACAGTGCTACTATAAAGATTAGACTTATAAAACAGAGCTAGAACTTGTGAAACCAGGCAAATGTGCTGGTCTTTGAGGTAGAACCAGATGAACCAACCAGGCTGCTGGAATTTCCGAGTTCCAGAGAAAAAGTGCATATGCTGGCAAACATGTGAACCAGAAGTGTATAGTTTCAACCTACCTTTCTGGACTATCTGGAATGGCAGCTTGGTAGAACTTGAATTAAATACCAAAGTAGTAAGGATATGTTGTGAAGTCAGTACCAGAGTTGGGGTAAACTCTACAAGGGCATAGTGATTTAATGGTACACCCTGACTGCTAGTGTTGGCCTCAGCCATAGCGATATCAAATATGAAAAGTCAAGATTTAGTCCTAAAAAAAATCCTATAATTTCTAATTTCAAATTATTTTGACTACAATATATTTAAGCATATGTTAAAAAAGCAGATAATAGCACAATTACATAATTTATCTAACACATTATATCTTAATTTACTCACAAAATTTATTACAAGAAACATAAATTCTAGCACTAATATATGCATTATTATTATTATTTTTTTTGCTTACACTAAGGTAATAGTTATTAGCAGCTATTGCCTTTATTGTATTTAATTATGATTACATAACTTGTACAAGGTAAGTATACAACTAGCTATATATACAACTTTTGGTTGTCTATTTTAAGTAGTTTGCCCACACAGCAGATTTTATACTAGTTGCTATACTTGCAATCTACTAGAAGATTATTTATTTAAATACTCTAATCCCTATACTTATACTGACAAATAGTGCACAAGTTTTTATACATTTAAATGCCATCTAACCTAACTGTAACCTCTCTGTCTATACATCCATTAAGCCATTACACATTTCAGAGTATATTATCTGACTATAAGGCTCCAGGAGGCCTCCTTGCTAACTAACTACTAACATTTAGTATCTTGTTAACAGGGCTCACTCTTGCAGAGTTCATCCAGACTTCAGCACCAACTTTACAGCATATTCTTAATACTTATAGTATACTTTTGTTTTCAACCTCAGACTTCCAATCCAAATAGCCCAGTAGGACTATGATCTGTTCTTGGTACCTCAGAGTCTACTTTCAAGGTCCTTTTTCTCTAGTTCGAGACTTCTGATGACCTAGTTAGTGGTACCCCTCACCCAAGGTTCTTGCCTGCCTGATTTCTTCCATATTGGTATCTGTTTTCTAGGTCTAGCCTTTACAATAATACTGTCAAAGATCTGTGCTATCTCTCTACTCAGGTCTTTTCAAGTAGGCTTCAGTTTTCTCAGTTCACAGATTTATATAACCATAAGAACTTATTTTTGTTTGCATTGCCTGATGCTGGTTTGCATTTCTTTGTATAACTCCAACATTGTGCAGATGCCTATGACTTGTCAGTTATCTGGTATAATTGTGTTACAGATACTGATCCCAACTAATTGATGGAATGCCATTGCCATAATACCACTTACCTCCCATTATATCAATATAATATAGGTGGTTTTTTCAAATTTTCATCATTAGTAGATTTTGAACTTCTAACCTACTACTTAGAAGATTGACAACTTAACCACTTCACTAAGTTGCTACACCCCAATATATGCATTATTTAAAGTAATCTTTTGAGAATTTGCATATAGAAATGTAATGACCAGTTCCATGACAATTACCACAATGTCAGATCTCTAGTTTAAGCTTAACAATACTGTTATTTTCTTCAATATTAATCTATTTTGCTGATCTTGAATTCTTCTTCTGTTCCATATCAAAATCCTGAATAACATTACATTGCATTGAATTCAACCATTTTGAGTACTTTTGTGATTTAATTTTTTTGGATTGTTAATTTAAGTAAGATTAATTAGTGTTTATTGATTAGTATTAATACTAATGTGATTTTTAATAAATTTTGTTATTAACCCAACAAATTTATCTACTAAACCATTATTAATAGCAATTTTAGTTCACTTTTAGCAATACCAAAGCCATGTGCATATTTCTGTTTTTGTGTAATATTTGTATAAATGTTAAGCTGAACTATGTCTAGTCTACGAATTAACATTATATAATTTATCTTTGTAATTAGATTTTGTTTTATAGTTGTTTCTATAATTAAAGAATAAACTTCTTGAATTGGATCAGTATACTAGCATTTAGGCATAAGTTTGATATCAAATTTGGCATTACGCACTATTTTAAAAATGCTAAAAAAGTGTTAACAATAAAACCCATTCAAAATTATATAAAGGCATGTACAAAGATGTGTATTATCAGTTAAAAGAATCATATAGTGGAGGTAGATGTAAGTATATTGATCAAATAAGTACACATGCCAAATCTCAAGAATGTTTTTATAGTTTAATATATTTATAATAGTTTCAAGTAAGGCTTGTAATACATCATATTCGTTTTTAAAAAACTCTTTAGAATATTTATATGCTTTAGACATTTAAAATAAATATTAATATTAAACAATAAATAAAAATTTTATATATATTCAATTAACATAAAAATTAAACAATGAAGACAAGTTAGTATAGCTATACTGATATTGAATTATTTGGAATTTTAACTAAACTCATCTAATAGAAAACACTTTGAAAAATTTGAATATTTTGAATTGAAGCTGATTCCAATATTAAGTACTTTTTAATATTATTCTGAACAGCTTTAAAAAAAACATTTGAAACACTTGAAAGTTTCTGAATAGGCAATGCATTTTTATATTCTAATAATTATTAATGTTATGTCTCATACTTAAGTTTTGCTTGATTAGCTTACCTAAATTAAGAAGTATTGTTTTAGCACCAACCTTTTTTTTGATAATTCTATTTATACTTTTTACCCATTGGGTACTTTACATCCTAGCACAAAAGGTTGTAAATACATAAATTTTAGCCTATGACTTTTGTGACTTCCAAAGTTGCTACAAGTAACTTTAATCTTGTAGATATTTAAATAATAATTCTTTCTAATTGTATTCCAATTCTACCTTACTATGGCTATTATGACATTGAAACTAACTTTTCAAAAAACTATTATAGAAATTTTTTCACTTTTAAGACAATTTTTTAGCTATATTAGTTTGTATATAAAATATACAATAATTATGTTTTAAGATAGTAAATATTTGATTGATAGTGGAAATTATAGCAATATTAGCATCAGTAAAAATTGCCTTGAAAACTAAGTTATTAGTTATCTTTAATATACAATTTAAAATTCACATATAAAAACTAACAGTTTTATCTTGAATGAGTAACTATGCTATAAGTCTTGTTTTATAATGATTATTAATGATTACAAAAAAATTTAAAAGCATATTATATGCATTTATTTTGGCTATATTATTATTTACTACTATATTATTATAATATTTCTATAACTCTATTTATATTAGTATTATTCAAAAAAGCTATAAAAGATTATTATCTACATTTTTAAACTCAAGAAAAATTGTCTAGCCAGGTTTTTGCTCTTGTTGTTCTATAAGCTATTTAACTATATTAGCTGCATTATTTTCATATTTATTATTTATTTGTTTAGTATATCAGCATATAGCATTATATAAGTTATGATTATATAATAGTTGATCAGAAATTTTTTTTGAAATGTATTAGTTCTAAACTTTAGCTCCAATATTACATTTCTGTATTAAAAACTTTATAGTATCAAGAACTTCTTGAAAAAGTGAACACAAGCTTAAGGCAAACTCTTTTCTATACAATGCAAGTGAATGATTATGATTTTCTACAAGCTTTTTTATAACTACTATATTAAGGTTCTTTCAATATCTCACATTTAACTGCCATAGACATCCAACTTTCTTTAACTTTTTTTCTTTCTGACATGTAATATCAGTTTTTTTTTTAGATTAATGATCTTTAGAATTTTCATAAAAAAAGTATTAATGAATTATCTTATTAGCATAATTATGCTCTACTCAATACTTTATTAATTTAAATCCAACTTCTAGTTTATATTTTCTTAATGCATTCTCTAAAGACTTCCAACTAGAAAAGGTAGCACTATTTTGAATTTTACATTTAATCTTTTCATATATATCATTATCAGATCTATTGTTACTTTGTTGCTTTTGGTTAAGTTCTTTAGATAGAACATTAAAATTTAGGTGACTGGACATATAAATAGTTGGTACATCACAAGCTATTACAGTTAAGGATATTTCCATATTTGGATAGTAATGATTGCATTATTTATAGTATAAGATCACCAATCAGATAATTATAGAATCACCAATAATAAAAACAACATAATCAAAATAGCATACAAAATTATTATCAAAAAAATATATATTATATAACCTTGAAAAATTAGTTAGAATTTTATTAAATTATTATTAAAAAAATAAATAGAACAAAAAAAAAACCAAAAGATAGTACAAATTAGCAAATATAATTGTATGCTACAAATCTAACTAATATACTATATTCCAAATCTAACTACTATACATCCTTAAATCTAACTATCTTGCTATTCCCAAATTTAATTATTGTATTATTTCTGAATCTAACTATTGTGCTATGTCTTGAATCTAACTATTGTGCTATATTTTGAATCTAATTATTATTTTACTTTCAAATCTAACTATTGTACTTCATCTTGAATCTAACTATTATGCTAAGTTCTAAGTCTAACTATTATTTACTTTTGAATCTAACTATTATGCTATATTTTGAATTTAACTATTGTATCTAACTATTGTACTATATTTTAAATCTAACAATTATACTATATCTGGAATTTAACTACTATGCTATTTTCTAAACCTAACTATTATGCTGCTCTTGAATCTAACTATTGTGTTATGTTCTAAATCTAACTCTATTATGCTACTTGTACTAGATCTAACTTTACATGCTACTTGTCTTAAATCTAATTCTACTGTACTACTTGTTTTGAATCTAACTCTACTATGGTTTTGTCCTGAATCTAACTCTATTGTATTACTTGTTCTAATTCTAACTTTATTATACTACTTGTCTCAAATATAACTCTTTACTATGCTACTTGTCTTGAACCTAATTTTACTGTTATTTGTTCTGAATCTAATTTTACAGATAAGAAATAAAAATTAAATTATTAAAAAATAATTTAAAAATAAATAAAAAAAGCCTATTCTACTTGTCTTTAATCTAATTCTTCTGTTACTTATCCTGAATCTAAATCTACAATTACTTGTTCTGAATCTAACTCTACCTGTCTAACTTTACTATATTATTTGTCTTAAATCTAATTCTACTGTGCTACTTTGCCAAATCTAACTATTATGCTACTTGCCTTAAGTCTAATTACTATGCTATATATTCTGAATCTAGCTACTGTGCTACTTGTTCTGAATCTAACTACCATACTATTTGTTCTAAATCTAACTATTATGCTATTTGTTTTGAATTTAACTATTGCAATAATACTATAAAAAGGCATAAAAATTCAATTAACTATTGAATATTTAATAACTACAGTAGCAAAACTTTACTTCTTATTTAAATTCTTGAAAAAAATTGATTATCATTAATTTTTAGTTGATTATAAAATTTTAAATCTTTTATACTGTACTTGTATAATTATTAGGCATCATAAAGATCTAAAAGATCAAAAATTTTTAGCAAAAAAGTGTAACTGTGAGCTAATAAAAATTTATCGATCATTTTAGAATTGATCTAGAATGCAATTTGTAATATGAAATATGATTTTTTAAATTTAAAAATATCTCTAACTGCATTATGAGTACTATAAAGTAGTATAATGTCATATACTGAAAAATGTATCTTCTAAAATCCTCTATTCATAGGGTAAACGAAAGTCTTTTATATAATATTAGACAAAATAGTACTTAAAAAAGGTGTTGGATTTGGATGAGTACTATGAGTAAGTGTTACTTTATTAATTGTTATATGAGACTTGTTTTCATTACATTATAACTATATTACTTATATACTTTTTTCCTATACACTATATCTACTAATTATGCTCTATATGCTATATCTATTAATTATACTGATTATGCTATATCTACTAATTATGCTCTATATACTATATCTACTAATTACTTTGATTACACTATATCTACTAATTATACTCTATGTGCTATATCTACTAGTTATGCTCTATGTGCTGTATCTACTAATTACACTCTATATACTATGTGCTATAATAATTACTATATATATATTATTACTTCATTATGTGATATAACTTAAGTGAAATATCGATGATCCTATTTTGGATCGTGACAATAGATATGTTAGAATATTCACTAGACTATTACATAACATATATATAAAGTATTATCTTTCTGAGATAATTAAAGTAAAAAAAAAACTTATAAAGTGCAATATATAATATTTTTACTTTTTTGTTCTTCATTAAAAGTATCAACATCTGAATTGGTATGTGTTAAATCCAAAGTTATATTATTTTCCATAGCAAGCAAACCTTTAAAAGTTTAAAAGATAATTATATTGTATACTTTAATTTCAAATTGTCTACACAATATATTCACATAGTGTTTATAGTATAAGACCTATTATACAAAGACTGAAAAACATTTTCAAAGACCTGGTTGACTTTCTATTTTTAGCTGTTACCCTAAGTCAATTAAACCAATAATTTAAAGAAACAGATACTAAAAAATTAAAAGTTAAACTGCTTATATATTGAGAAATACCTTTATATCAAAAAATTTCAGTAATTATATAGATTTAAAAACCTAAAACAGGTTTGTGTTAAGATTAAAAAAACAAATATGAAAAACTTCAGATTGTAATAGAAGTAGATATTTAATTTGTATAAGTTTTGGCTATGATAAAATAGGTATTAATACTTGTAAAATAATTTATATAGTTACAGATATTTTGAGTCTAACAATTTTACTTTAATAAGCTTACTTTAAAGTTACTTAAACTTTTTTTTTTATTGGCTTTTTTCCTTTACTAATTTTAAATTCTTTTTACATCAAATAATAACTTTGCTATGCACTTAACAAGCAACTTGCAATATAATTTACTATGCTAGGAAAAAAAAAAAAGTCAATTATTTGTTCGATCAAGAATTTTTATTTATTTATTATACTACAAATTGAGTTAACAATGTACTGTTAAATTAAAAGACTGATGTTTTACATTACATTTTATGTAATCATTGTTGATTGGCTATAATATATAACCACAATATTACAATCTGTTATGAGTATAAAATTTCTAAAAATAATATTTACCTTGATAAACAGTTTTTTTTTTAACAAAGTTTAATTTTTCTAATCTTAAAGCTTTATTGTATTGCAATATTTTAGAAATTATTTGAGTTAAATCATAAAAATCAAAATTTGAATTTAGTTGATATGCAATATTAAAAAAATATTTAACTAGTTCAGATTCATGAAACCAAGATAATAATGATATTTGTGAATAATATTCATAATAAGCTTTGACTAGTAAAACAAATAATTCACAAAGTGAAATAAAAATAGTAAATGTTTAATTTGCTAAAAACTTTTGTTGTATTAAAATAAAATCATGATATTTTTAAAAAAGAGTTTCTATATGAGTACATCATAATTAAATAAAAAATAATTTGTCATAACTATTTTAATTCATTCAAGTGGTGCAATATCCCAGTTTAGATAACTATCAATTATCTTATTTTTAAAAAGCAATATAATTAATATAATTTTAACAAATTATTGGCAAATATATATTGATATCAAATATTTATTTAATACAAAAAAATAAATCACAAATTCTTTTATTTCAGTTTTGACTTGATAATCAGTTATTAAGCATTAATGAAAATTTGATAAACAAAATGTTTGATAAGCTATTACATCATTTTGTTAGTCCAGTTTAATAATATCATTTTTAAACATTACAGAATTATGCTGATTAATAAGTTATAAAAAATAATCATAGCAAGCTAAAGACTTCCCAAGAGTAATAAGCATGCTCTAGACATTATAGCATTTTGTGCTATTATTTTAGCATGTTTGAGATTTTGAATACATATTACAAAACCAATATGGTCAAAAATAGGCCATAAAAAATTAATATTTAAACCAGGTTCTTTAACTACTAGTTTTTTATTTGTTTGAGTTTTAAAAATTGATTGCTGTGTTTAAAATTCTGTTATAGCATTATTCAATTCTAAAAAAAAGTATATAAAAACCAAGTTGTGATACAATATTAAGAATTAATTTTTTATATAATTGTAGTATTGAATTTGCTATATCTGATCCATTATTTGGAATTAGAGCAATAACTATTGGAGAAAATGCAGGCAATGGTATCTTTTATATTCCTTAAACCATATTTTAGACAAATTTGCTTGGAAAATTAAATTGTATTTAGTGTTTTTTAAATAAAATAATAATTTATTAATGATATAAGATATATTTTGCTTATGAAATATATTC